GGCGCGCCGAACACGTGCACAGCTCAGGGAAAACTCGGCATCTTTTCTGCAAGTGGGCTGTGCAGCGTACTTCAAAAATGGCGCCGGTTGAAAAGATCGAAATAAAAACAGTCCGAGTTTTCCCTGAGCTGTGCACGTGTTCGGCGCGCCCTTGGGGGATGTCAACAGTTGTACAATTTTCTGCACTCCCCTTAGTAGTCGGGAGTTTTTGAAGTGATTCCATGGAAACTGTCGTCCAATCAGAGGGAGTTTTGCAAGACGGTCAAAGTCCGTGTCCAACTCGGTCGATGAAGGGTTGACCGGATGCAAAAATTCAGTCCGAATAGCGTACAAACATGACGATTTGGCACGGTTGGATTTATAAACCGTTGAAAGTTTGCCCAATTCTGGATAGAAGGATCCTAGAGACATGCCGCTGAGGGTATTTTGGAGGCAAAAGATGGATTTAAGATATTTTTTTCGGCTATTAAAGACGAGTGGTGTGGACGCTCTGTAACCAGCCTTGTAGTCTTTTACTACTGATGGTGATATTTTTTATAAAATAGGTCTAAATCCCTTCAAAACCACACACAGCAATGTTAAATAACATCAAGAACACATGATATCAAGGTAACATGATTTTATTAAAAAAAWTTTTTGTATGCTCTGCTTGGGTTGCCTGTGTTTCTAGTAACAAAAAGGACGCTAGTTAGCGTCTTCAAAATAGCTGAAAATCGCTGCGTTTCTAGCTCAATGTTTGGACTTTGAGAAATGATCTTTGAAAAATCAATGATATGTAAGGAAAACACGATCAGCTACGGTGAAATTTCGCTTCTTCGCGGATTTTCACCATGRAAWACAAGGGCAAAGGAGASGACGAAAGGAAAAGAAAATTGTCAAAAAGGACGCTCTTAACAATTTCGTATTTACAAAATGAACACGAAATTCATATATTTAGATTCGTTACTGTTTGTACGTAAAAAGATACAATATAAAGTACTGCATGTAGTACTGAATAAAGTGTCTTTTTAATAAAAGCCGCCCCCGAATAGACGCCACCCTCGAATAAATGCCGCAACTGGATCGTGAAAAATGAAATAAACGCCTCGGCGTCTTTTCGAGTAAATACGGTATTTGTTTTTCCTACAATGGAATCAAGAATAGTTTCCATCTAGGATTTCATCTTGAAAAACGTTACTGGTAAAACAAATCAAATGTTATTCTCAAATAGTTTTTTTGATCCGTACATTTCTTTGTAAAATTTAACAAACATGTTTTTGTGCTTTATGCGAAGTACCGCTGCTATTGCAGGCTCGTATGTCCGGATTTTCTGGCCATTGTTGTGTTCCTCAGTAGCTAAAACATCCAAACATTACTGAGGCAGCTCCAAGAAACTTTTAAGGGATTCTCTTTAAGCGAAGGTCCAAGTTAATCGAATCGAATCAACCGCGGAAACAAAATCGCTTAAAAAGTCACACACCAAGCTGGGTTCTTTCAGCAAGTAAGCTTAAACAAACTTAATGATGTCCGTAGAGTAGTGACTAAAGGCAAAAAGGCTGAAAAAAACAGGGAAAAAACGCATTTCTCGACTTCTTGCGGTACAGCTCCGAACCAAAACAAACCAACTGCCAAAGTCGAGAGTTTAGCGCCAATATGCAAATCTAGGATATTTTACGGTCTAGCGATCAGTTGTCAAGCCAAAGAAGTCCATAAGTATGGGTCTTTTTTTTTGTGGGGGGGGGGGGGGGGCTCTTTTTAGTAAAAAAAAACAGGGGAAATAAGTACTAAATAGGATTATCTAGACTGAAAATAAGTGATTGAAGTGACTTTTTGTCAATTTATCGAAAATTTCAAAAATACCCTAAATTGCCACTTTCGCCGTTCTCGCATACGCGCCTTCAATTTCTGGACATTTTTAGATGTACTTAAAAAAGGTATGAATTACCAACCATGCGAACTGCAACTTTTAAAGAATCATAACCACCCGTCGTACCTTGCGCGCTCGTATTATTGTTTACTCGTATTATTATTAATGCGTCAAGCATACAATAAATTGTAGATTGATAGTACCTGTGAGTTACTTAGTTAAAGGTATTTCTGTCCAAACTGAAAGGACGGAAGACGATTYGCGCTCACTTTAAGAAATCCTACAAATCCGCCATTTTCGTGTCCACCTAAATTGGCGCTTCGGTTCGCAAGGTACGGCGGGTGGTTATGATTCTTTAATATGAAAGCTAAAGACAAAATCTCTGTAATGATGTGTAATTGAAACATTCAGTGAAATGTTCATATGGCTTCGCAAGAAAATGTTCTTACGAATTTTTAGATAACAGAATTTGAATGATTTGCTATTTGTGMAATTTAAATAAATTTATTATGAACTTGTATTTTTCGATCATAAGTTTACATTAGAGTCCTAGACTTTTTTTGATGAATGTAGTTACATCATTTGCTTACCTCCATCCGTATCCATATCGCAAAACACTTGAAATGGGACCCCTGAGTTGGATGGGTCGATCCAGTATTGATCACCAGTTCCATGTGACATCTTAAGCTGAAGGATGTCAAGGCATGATCTAGGCTCAATGGCTTAAAATCGAATAAAATAAACGTTCTATTCAACCTAAAAAGGTCACAGTGTTTTTGCTGGTTATTGCTATTATGATTGGTAGCTTTTGTCCTAGCACCACCCCTAATACCTCATTCCCCTCTATCAAAAATGGATGCAAAACTCTAAAAAGCAAACAAACAAATAAAAGAAAAGAAAAAAAATAAGATTAACCCAGTACTAAGAAATAGAGAAAGCAGAAATTTACAATTGATGTCAAAGAATGCCATCTCAAATATACCTGTGCACTGAAACCCATCACCGCTGAAACCAGGTTTGCATTCACAATGAAAAGATCTGTGACTGTTAATACATTCTGCATTAGCATGGCAAACATCACTTGTTAGGCATTCGTCTATCTCTAAAAAATTAAAGCAAAAAAGTTAATTTTCTTTGGGGAAATTTTTTTACTGCTTTCTTTAAACTACACATGTCGCTTGAAAACGAAATTTGCTTGTTAAYACTTGATAAATATATTGAAGTGCGGATCCTAGGGTGGTTATCTACCCCCTCTTTACAGGGTTATGAAAAAMAGTCGAAATGATTCGATGATAATAACAGATAGATTTGACTTTGATTAATTTACCTCGTTTACATGTGAAGGCGTGACAAGACTCGCAGCTAACGTCATTCCAATGATAGTCATGACGTAGTCCCAAAGTGTGCACACAATCCTGGTCACCAGGGTAATCGTTTGGTTGGTTCTGAGCCCAGTATGTAAAGTTGTTGGAAGAAGTGCCATCAATCCAGGTAAAGTTGCCTTCGCTGTCAATATCCTGTAAACCTATCCAGCCTGTATCGCCAGCATGTCGATGCTGAACAAATGTATTCTCTTCTTGACTTGTAATGGACGTTAGGTTGGCATTGTCGGCAATGCAACTGGATTGAGCAGCTTGCCATGACAAGCAAGAGGAGTTCGTTTTGTAGCAGAAGCCATTAAAGTATGTCCACTCTTTGCCACAGATATCTCGAAAAAGAGCAAATCAAAGCTATGTCGTCACTATTGATCAATAAAGCCGCACTATTTATTTGGATTACTGAAAAGGTGCCCACTTCATATATGCTTACAGATTAGAAGAAAAAGGTCTGTCCAAATAAAGGTCGGATCTGTAGTATACAGTATACTGTAATTATAGCACCCACAATATTAGATTGTGTACATTAAACATTAATTAATTAATAGGCTGTATTTTTCTATTTCCTAAAATAAAATGAGTATAAATGGTATAAGTTCGAAATATTAATACGTTTTCTTTTTCTTTTTCTTGGCATATCAGAAACGTTGTCCTTCGTTTAGCAGCCATATATTGTTATCTTATTTGGAGGTACATGTGGACTGGTTTTTGGCGATTTTCTCGACTTTTGAATAATTTAATCGTCTGAAACTTGCAGATATTATAGCGAAAACACTTTTGAACAATAAGGGATTCTTTTTTGTTTCCATATTTGATTTTGATTCGCTAAAGGAATCCCGAAACTGTCAAGCACAGGGATCCCCAACAAATAAMATTTTTTGATAAGGAATTGACTCATACCTGATACAACTGCGTACTGTATGGATACAGGGTCATACTGTTCAGAAAACAGCTCTTGAAGACATACTCGGAACACTGTCATGCTTATGTCCTGTTGCAAGGCAACACGATTAAATTAGAATGGTCGTGTGTGCATAAAATGCTCAAGAATTTTAGAAGAAAAGCACACCTCTATCCAAGCAGAAATTCCGTTACACGTTGGCTTAGTACTACCAGCAACTGTGGTGTGAGTAGCGGTTATCATCACAAGTGGAGGCGTTGTATAGTTTCTTTTCATAGTCACATTCTTTAGAGTATGAATTATCAACATTAGTTTTTTAAAAAAAACACATAAAAATTCCAAACATTGCAATTACCTTGCAAAACGCGTAATTGTTGGATTCTAATGGAGTGTGATCATTTGGAAAGTAAACGCTGCCATGCTCCGAAAAGAGTGGAAAATGAAGTGTTTCAAACGCTATCCAATCCTGTTTCAAATATAATAACAAAGCGTTCATCAAGATAGGAATGAGATATATCGACTTTTACCATAAAAATATCAAGACAAACCATTTTAGTTCAACTGAAGTCAATTTACTTTTCCGATCGATAATTCCTTATAATAGATAGAGAAGAAGATAACAATCACATACCACTTCAAGCTCCTCATGAATTCCATCAAAGTTTTGTAGTTCTCTTGCACAAACTTGAAACGATGATGAGGTAATGTTTTCCGTCCAAACGCTGGCAGCGTCATATTTTAATCCATCTCTTTCGTGATCTAGGGTGACTAAAACTGTGGGAGGTTTTGTGAATTTTCCCTAAAATATGATATGAAATGTTAATCATTAACAWGTAACAACTAACAAGTCGACTATATTTAAAAAATACAGTTTGTGTATGTGACTCACATGACCTTAGACTTTTCCTTACTTTTGGGAATGATAGGGTTGTACACTTTGTACCAGATCCCCATTTTGCTATTGGCTCCTTTCCAGTCATCGCTCCATTAGGGGAGCCTTGATAAGCTATCCAATCAACAGACGCCACATTGCTTGTCTCTTTGTCGTTTCTACCAGTCTTGGCAATACATACAGTGTAATTTTCCAGGTTCACATTTTCTGACCACACGACTGTTGCATCATGGATTTGAACCGGATATGACGTGTTTATGTAGTTCACTGTCATCTGGACATGGATGGGTTTGTTTGGGTAAAACGTATAGGGTTTAAAAKAAACCACCTCACAGTGAGATTCGGAAAAAGAGGAATCTTTACTAAGAGATTTCCTCCCTTTATCCAAAGGAAAACCTGCATAAGTTAGACAAAATTTAGAATTTTATTGCATGAGTCGTATTATGTGGACTCAGTCTACCTTTTTTTTATTAACATAGCAATTGACAAAATACTAGAATGACGTCATAATATCGATTATACGTCATACTTACCATGGCAACTGCCTGGATGGTAATATGAATAGTTGCCATTAGTTTGACAAATCTCTCTTTTCATTGTGCATATGTTATCAAAAGTTCGGCCGTTGGAAGCACACACGAGATCTTGGTAAGGAGGACATTGTTTTACACACACGCATTGACCAATACTTGGCGATATCGCTTCACAAACACCAAAGTATTCACAGGTTTTGTTAATGCAAGGATCAAGATCTAAAAAAAGCATTGAACGTTAAGTCGTGATTTCAAAGCAGCTAACAACCATTGACGTCAAAACATAACATTGATAAGYATTTCTCGGCTGATTACTGGCCTAAAGAAGAAGCATGTTATATTGTGTAGATTTTTGCAATATTGAGTTTTACCTCCAAACACAAGGTATTGTACTTGGATAGGATGCTGTTTTCCGTTTAATCCCGAGAAAGATTTTGCACAGGTCTTGAAGTGAAAGYTTGTAGTTTCCTGTTGTATCAATAAAAAAAATATTATTTTTTTGCGAAATAAGACTACTTGATAGAAAAATGCTGAGAGCTATATCCTTATTGACAAAGAAAGAAGTTTATAGGCAYGGTGCGACATTTTGTGCAGCAAAGCATGATAGATTTAGTCCCCATACTTGTTCGTTAAAACAGTCCTTGCGAAATTATTTTTTTTTTGAACTTATATTTGAATGATCTCTAAGAAATACCAAAAATCAAAATTTTTGCTTAATTGAACGGTTTAGATTTCGAGGTGAACGGTGGGCGTGGTAGAACTTGAAAATTTAGCTTGATTTCAATTCTATCGAACAGTCTTTTGCTAGCTGGTATATTTGCCAAATGTGTCTCTCTTAGAGGTATTCCCTGACCAGGTCAGAAGAGAATTTGCACACAATCCCAACTATACTACTATTCTTGGTTCCTTTTGTAGCATAAAAAGCTACATAGTAGACATAGTTTGGCAAAAATATAGGATTGTAGAGAAGAAGATACACAAAATTTGTAAAAATGTTTGGCGGAAATCCAGATGGTGGTCACATCTGACCGCCGTCYGAATTCAAAGGCTTACAACGGCAGAAATTTAAAGTTTTGTTGACATATTTCTATATGAGACAAACTTTTGTTTGTACATCGAATTGTACTTGGTTTTCGTAGGTCCGTGACGGCGTTGCGTGACACAATTAAAGCTTAAATATCTCGAGAACCAAACAATTGTATACACTCATGTTTATTCTTATATATTTATAATACCCATAGTTACAACATATATAGTTTTCATCATCATAGGATGCATATTAAGAATATATATATATTTGTGACGTCACATGAAACTCAAGAATTTGGAAACTATCTTAAGAAAAATAGAAACCGAAATCATCACAGGTGCACCCTGTTTTGTTTCTATCTAGTGTTTAAAGCATGATTATATGACTCACCTCAACCCAGGCAGAAATGGAGTTACATGAAGAGGATGCAGAGTTAATGCTGCTGTCGTTATTGTCGTACAAGCTTTGTGGGGTAAGAACTATTGTGGGTGGTGCATAGTAAGGTTCCTTGAAATTAATCATCTGCAAGACATATAACTACGTGTTGCGAACGCAATAACTGGAAAAGATTCGGTGAAAATATGATACACAGATATGAAATTGCAAATAATTCAAACGAAAACGAAAGTGTTATTTATTGTATGTAAGGATGTTGATAGATATTTAATACGCCAAGCCGAGCTGTCGCACCGCTGGTGCATCTTCAGGGAAACAAATTCAAAATTACAACAGTTTCAACGAACTACGTCAAACTTAATATGCGAGCTAGCAATAGCCAATAAAAGTTCTAACTATTTCACACATTAAGTGGTTTAAAACGGTTGTAATTTCAGCACGTCACTGAAAGTTACACTAGTGGTGCTAGAGCTCGGTTAAGTGCATCAAATATCGTAAACGTAGTTGGTCTCACAATTTTTACAACAAAACCAAATGTTTGTAAAGTATATATATTAATCAATATCTTTCCTTGCAAAATTCATTAATAATTCATAAGAAAAACAAAATAGCAAATTATTTCCGAGACCGCACTTTAATATAAGGAAGAGATTTGTAATGATTTGCATACGACTTAACTTCGATTTACTTTTAAAAATGGCATTTAAAGTGAATTTAATTTTTAGAAAAATGTGTTTAAAGGGACATGGTCCACCAGCATCCCTTTCGAGCTTTTGTTTATGTTTGAAAATAGAAATACATCGTATTATAAGCAAAAACTTACTCTTTATTGTTCCTTTATCCTATATGAATGGAGATGCTTTACGATTCGACCGTTAAACCGATGGATGGAAACGGATTGCAAATGGATATTCGAAGTCACCTCATTTTCCATATATGAAAAATCTAAAACACGACCGCATTGCATGCTAGTGGACCATATCCCTTTAAGCTTATTTTGGAATTAGATAAGCAATATAAAATATATTCGCGACGTCCGATTTTTATGGACATCAAAGTTCGCAGTTTTAAATGGCCATAAAGGTCTCTCGCTCAGTATAGTTTGTATACTACATACAATGAAAACAATGCCATTCCCAAATCAAAGAATGGTTTTGTTTGATTTCAGTATGGTTGGAATGATTACGATAAGAAAATGACAGTGAACACATACCCAACAAATGTACTCGAATTATTACAATATGATACGATGCCTGGTGATGGTGCTAGGAACATCTCATACCTTACATAACGCATCATTGTCAGCTTCTGTGGGTTTAAGCGAGCTTGGGAATTCGAGGCTGATGAAGTCGCGATATTTCCATGTCTTGGGGACATCAATCATTGCCATCCAAATCTTGAGAAATACATAAAAGATCATTTCTTTCTATGCATACAGTGCACTGAGCATTTGAAAGTTAGCATATCAAAGAATTCTATGTCATTCGTGCGGGTTCCCTGTGCTATTTAGTTTTTGGCTTCCTTTAGCGAATCCATGCCAAATATGGAAGCAAACAAAATGGCCAGTTTTAGACGGTTTCAAGCTTTAAAAGTCGAGAAAATCGACAAGAAACCAACTATATATGGCTGCTAAACGAAGGACAACTTTTGTGGGGCAATTCTTTGATATACGGCTCTTTCTAGGAAACTACCTCGATCTGAAGCTTAAAAATGGGTTTCATTAATTGTTTTTGTTATAAAACTCGGGCTCAGTTTGCGTCACTTTTAAGTGAAATCTCGCGCTTTCCGGTTTAAACCTGTACTTAACCATCATATACTTATTTACAAAAAAGGCGTATAGGCAAAAGATCTTTCTTTTTGGCAGGTCTCGATCGACTGCTGCCTGCTGCAGCTCACAAGAACACAACTTTAAACTACACGTGGTTGAATTAAAAAGAAACATGCACATTTTTTCAAGGACGACTCTTCAGTCTTTGTTATACGAAAGTGTCTGAGTTCAGCTGTTTTTCATCCCTTAATTTCTTACCACTTCAAGATCTTTGTGGCGCCCTTCAAAGGTTCTTGCTTCCCTCATGCAAACTGTAAAGGTATCTCTTGTGATGTCCTTGACCCAAACAGTGGCTGCATCTTGTTTTCTATCCAACACATTGTGAAGAGCAGTAACGAAAACATGTGGTTTTCTGGAATAAATCTATTAAAAATCAAAGAATATCGCACGTAAGTAGCAATAGAGMGGATTTCGTATTAGTGGGCCATCGTTAGCGCATGCACGGTTACCGCACAGTTACCAGACCTGGCCTGCACAATTTTGGTGAAACACTGGGGCACTAGAATTTGGTTACAGTACGATCTGGGTGATTGATTTGCGACTAGGCCTGCATATGAATTCGCCAAGGTTGTAAGCCAGTGCGCCCGTGCATTTTTGTTAAGCGGTCATATTTGAAAATCTAAATAAAGGAAAGGAAAAACCCGCAGCTCTCCTTTCACTCAGATAAACAGTACAAGTCGTGTTAAATTTATTTACATAACTAAACAAAATGATTATAGAATTAAACCTTTAAGAATTGAATGCTCATATGAAACATTTTACACCTTAAATACACACGTGTTTTTCAGATGGGAATTTAGTCGAACTTTTTCCACGATGGAATTTTGTTTTGAGTCGTTTCGACATAAACAGTCGCTATCAAGACATTACACGAAAAACTGCAGTCACCGTTCTAGCTCTCGTTGTAAGGTCAAAGCTAGTAAATGTGTAACCGACCTGTTACATAACCTCAACTGAACTCGTTGTGTCGTCGAGCATGCATGGCTTGCGGGTTATTGCCAAAAATGCGACAAAGGATGAACTACGACAGTTTACGATGCTTTAACTCTATTGGAATACATGGAGCTAAGCTGCTCTAGCTCTTTCAGTGATGTTGTAGATACCTCAAAGCTTTCAGGAAACAAGAGCTGAGAAAAAGGATTTGCAATGGTTCCTCCATAAGATACTTTGGACTTGAACGTCCCTTCAACGACCTTCTGAAGTCTTCGTGAAGTCGGCCATTGCTTCGCATGCAATGGAGAACCCGCGTAGAACACAGACTAATTATTTTTAGCAGGGAGGGGAGTCCCTTGGTATTAAAGAAAAAATTATTTGCTATTTCATTTTTAAGATAAAATTCTATTTCTATAACGATAAATATTTGATTGACATTTAATAAAAGCTATTTTATAAAGATTTTCAATTTGTCTTTGCGTTTTAGCTTTGATTTTTCGGATAGAATAAAATGGCAGGBARCCTACWCCASTSGGTCGAGTTTTGTTGTGCAAATTCCTCCCGTCGGGGGGTTATGTCTACAACATAAGCTTGTCAGCTTTGCGCTGATTGGCTAGCMGCATTTTCTCAAATCACCCAGATTACGGTCACAGTACAGTACCGTCCATTTCCCACTCATAAGAAATCCACTCTAATACATTGAGGTTTTGTATTCACTTGTTATATAAATCATAAAGATTAAAAGGAGATACRAATCTCCAAATCCACCCCAAGTAAAATCACCCGAACACCCTCTAGTTCCTGAATGCTTGGGGTGGATCTCACTCTATGATGGGTATTAACTCAAAAAGAAGCTTTAAATAAATCTAGTCTTCAATAGCCTATCTTGAGATAATTTATATTAAAGATGTACTGACATATATCTGTTGCTAGGGAAATTCAGTTGTTCTCTAAAATGACTAAAAAAAGTATAGGAATACAAGCGTATAATTAAAAGATTCATTTCAGAATATCACAAAACTATAGCATGCAACTATATATCTAAAATCAACTTCGAAAAGGCTTTAATAAAATCGCTTTTATATTGGATATTTAGCCTTCCCCAAGAAAAAAATAACGCATTCCATGACGTCATTGTATGATGTCATCGCGTGACGTCATAAATACGGAAAAATATTATCAATCAAATTAAATCAAACGATTCAAAATGATGAATATGAATATTCAGATCTAAGTCCATAAAGCAAGCATGCGTTTTTAGAATGATTGCCAAATAAGCTTTTTRTGATTTTTTACTATGCCACAAATAAGTGAAAAATGCCAATAACTTCCCTTTTTCTTAATTTTTACTTGGTTCATGAAGAGGAGGCTGTGAAGAGCATGAATATTGAAAAAAACACATCCATTTGATGTTTCGCGCCTATGATTATAGCTTTTTTAAAATTAAACCATGCATTTTATGTAAACAAAAACTATCCATCGGAAGTAAAAATGTTCTCGCAATGAAAAAGCKCGTGCCCGATAGCAGCCAGGTTGTTTAGAAACRGATATGTCAGTACACCCTTAAGTGAGATATCGTGGACATTTTCTTTCGTATAATCTGTCACAATGATAACCCTCTAATTCATCAAAATGTATAAATGCCAGAGCAGAACCAAATAGCCTTCGTCATATATACAGTTCCTTGCGACACCATGTTTCAAATATTAGGTCATAATTAACACRCAATGACAGTAAAGATTCGAGCAAACTCGAGCCCGTCAATATCGTGTGCAGATTTAGCAATCACCTTTGTTAGTGGCACACGGCTGCATTGAGTCTCAGTCGTCCATTCATTAAGCCTCACAGTCCCATCGTCAACACCAGACTCCGCTTCTTGATAAGCTATCCAGTTAATAGTCGCATTCCCATTGGATCCAGTCCCACTCTCTAATAGGCAAACTTTAAATCCTATTGTAGTGACTGATTCGACCCACGTGAACACTACGTCATGAACACGCGAAGATCTCAAACCAAAGCCTACAGAAGTAAAGACTTTAACAGATTCAGCCCCTGAAAAGGYCTTTGGGAAGATGATATCATCACAGTAATAACTGTCTGGTGATGTYTGGCCTATTCGCAATGTACCATGTTGTAAACCTGGCAAAATAACAAATGATTTCAACGTACAGCTAGCTAAGGGTGGGACCACTGACTATCTTTTTAGAGTGACACCAGTAAACATTCACGTCATTTGAGAAAGCATTGCAGTTGCAATAACTGTCTGTTAAAAGTTTTAGTAAATATCATTCGATGAAAGACTATATCTATTATTTGTGGCTTCTGACCTCTGCGTAATAAATTTGCATTTATTCAAAATGTCCTGATAACATCCCTCAGACAATTGGAATTAAACAGCATTAGTGTTTCTGTGCCATTTAATTGCTTGCAGTCTACTRCAGGTGTTGTGCCTTTTGTCTGAAAATCACTGCAATATTGATTGCAAATGAACTATATGCCTCCATTTATCGAATAACATTTGAACAAAAACATATAAAAGACCAGATTAAAATGMATAGCAGAGCTTTGTGGGACACGGCAAACGTATTCCCTGTCTCTTATATAGGCCTGTGCATCTGCACATTGCATATGGTTTGTAAAACACACAAGCAGGTTTTGTCAAATGAGTTACTATGTAAGTCTATGTCCTCCATTAAGATCCATTAATACATTCCAGTTCAGCGTTATTAATTGAATTTTACGGGAAAGAGTGATATATGAAATTATAGATATTGGTGATTTTATTGCACTTAAATACTAATTCCTTCTAAATAAGAATAAGGTCGTGATTACGACAGCACTTACATTTTACACCAACAGCAAAGACAAGAAACAAAAACACCTGAGCCAACGTGATCACTTCCATGGTCTTGGTCGACTGCAGTTCTTATATATAGACGTMGTATCAACGAMTAAAGCAAAGCTATACAATTACGCTCTTTTAATAGTGAGGCAAACTGTGACGTCATCAAAATATTTTTTTCATTCAATTAAAAATCTGTTACCATTTTGTTAATGCTCACAATCTAAATTGCTGTTTACAGTAATTAATAAAATAATATAATTTCAAGCGTATTAAAGCAATTTACWGCCATTAACGCTAATTTTTCAGTTGTTCAGACATAAAAGACAACTGCAAAGTCATTTGCATAAAAAATGTTTTTAAAATTCTATGGAAGGATTAATTTTAGTTTACAACTTCAGATGAATTGATAATTGATATTGTAATACATATCTTTTCAACTATATTTCTAATTTATTTTTGCCAAAAAAATGAAATATGCTTATGGAAATGACTTTCTTGGCATTATAACTTTACAACTCATGGCAAACAACTTTMTTAGGARAGACTGTATTTGACAACACGCGAACAAATGCTTATATTACAAAATGAGGCAAATTTACTTCATGACAAMAGTTGRTGACAARCACAACGCGAAACTTTCGRTTCGTAACGACGACACTGAACGATGGATGCCAAAGTCRTAGTGGATAAATRCCTTCAATTTGGCTTGTTAGCCTTGTCAACGTTTTGATTAAGACTTTGCAAGAAATGACGAAACAAGTTGATTGCTTATGTGATTATATTAAAATTAAAACGAAATCAGTTTAGCATTGCTACGGGAGCTGGAACCAAGACATGGGTTTCTTCAAATGTCACGCGGGAGTACAAAGCTACAACAGTTAATTTATGCAAKATACATCTCGTTGCATGTTTGCTTAATTATATCGGTCAATTATATATTTCAATCAAAATTTAGGTCTTAAAGTGAATTTGAATTAAAGCATATCGTCGAATTGTATTCCATATGTAGCAAACATGGAAGCATATTCAACTAGTTACTAAAGCATAGGTCACATCAAAATGACTCAAGCGTAATTTTACTTAATATATCATCTGTTTGCGAAAGTCAGTCATCAAGAAGATATGTTGCTCCAATCGTTAAATTACATTGATTAAATTCTCTAACTTGAAGGCAAGAAAGAAAATCACCATCCTCACACCGTGTGCTTTGGACAGTAAGGCGCAAAATGCCAAAAACACCACATCTGTTCATCAAACCATTGCCAGCATATACCAGATAACTTGTACAACAGTGGTTTTTGGAAAAACATTGCATAACTCAATCAGGACTAGACCTCAAGGTATAAGATTTATATATATAAAGGATATTGTGTAATTACATGGGAGCGCRGAGATACCGATTTTATCTTCGAGTGCTTTTTTAAAAGGTCTCTCACGAGTGAGCGTAACGACCTTTTTATCAAATGAATTGAATTCCATTATATAGTGAAACCATGGATGTGTTATTTTCCCTAGTAAAAATAACAACCTTAGTAAAAATAACAGCCTCTCGAAAGAGAGAAATTCGTTTTGAAGTTACGTTTCATCGGCCATCTTGGAGGAACTTCAACAAAGGATTTTCATTAGTATCTCTCCTCCACGCTGCTATTGCAAAAATCAACATACAAAATTAATTAGAGTGTGACAATGCCTTGTGCTTGGTGATATTTTATTAACTTAACATGAATAATGCACAATCTACAATCAATAGCTACATTCAAATGATTACAAGGTAATAAAATTAGAAGGCTACAAGGTACATACGTATATCTTGACATTTGTTGGATTTTGATTTTACAGGAGTTTCTAAACTTCATTTTAGAGGATGTCAAATAACTATTATCCCTCATTCGACGCACAGAAAGCACAAGATTTTTTGAGGAAAACTAGTTTCGTCTTTACTAGACATTTTCAATTCCTCTACAACTGTTGTTGTTATTTGACATCCTCCAAAATGACGTACATACGTATACCCCGGGGAAAAATCCCTCGTATTTCGGGTGCGAGTGATCGTCACAAATTTAAGAAAATACAGGCTTTTTAAAAAAAGGGCTCGACCAGACAATTTTTCACCCTAAAAGATTTTAACTAAAATTGTTTGTTGACATAATTTAACACGATGAGTGAGCTGACTAATGTTGTTGCTATCTTTAAGTATCATGCTGATTATCTTCAAAGATCACCTTAAAAGATACTAGATCCCTGATTTGTACCCCCAAAAGATAAGACGATCATCCCTGCCCTTCCATACATGGAAGTATACGCCTTCCTCTACGAGAAATGACCTATCAAAAGAACTTATTCATTGAACATAAACAGCTGGTATTGTTTTATAAATAAGTCGGGGTAAATACATCAACATTTTTAATGTTTAATTTATAATATTGAATCACTTGATAAATTCAGAGATTTAATTACCAATAGTTGGCCAAAGGTAAGTCTGCTTTGAAGCACGTGTATTTGTGCTTTGGTTAAAATCGACAAATTAATAAAATGGACAAAAGAAGATCTCTCAGGCTAGATTGTTTCTTGTGTCTATTTCTAGTGTATTTACTATTTCTCTATTACAACTGTTCTTGTAGTGTGGTGTGTGCATTAACTTAACATGAGAAAACCATGTCAATGTTGTGCAATAATCTAGGCAGGAATCTAATTGCAAAATTAAGYTTTTTTACGTTGGAAAGCTGCTACTTGCAATGTTAACGAATATAAATCTTCCAGAAATCTCCAGGCGAAATATTSGTAGAATTAAAGTCATCACATTCCAGTCTTGAATTATAATTAATGATGAAGTGATACTTTCCAAACACAAAGAAGGGATGGTCGTAGACTTTGTAAGCCTTGTCTTCAAATCCTGGATGCGACCATTTACCAATTTCGCTTTCTTTACTTTTACCCCAAACTGAACATTCCCTTGAGGTCATTGAGGTGTCATTGGGCCCAAAATAATACGAACCGCAGCTGCCTGGCCTTTTCACGTTTGCTGACGTAAAGTAATTGACAGCAGCATATCCAGAGGCATTATTGGATGTCATCACGTCTACCGTGCGTCCAATTAAGAACTTACGGCACTGCCATCTCATTTGAGTGAATGAAGTCACCGACTCAAGATCCTGCAGTGCATCAGACGATATGACCATTYTTTGGTTTCCATAGCGCCCAATGCCAGCGTACGAATAAATGACGTCAAGAGATGGCTTGGACCCCGAACTTGGGATGACATAGTTAGACACCAAAGTCCATCCTCCTGCGAATTAAGATTTGTTAAAAAAATGTAGCAATCGTTATTCACTCTGACTTCAAGTCCAATAAATAGTCTTTTACAGTCAGGGGTTCTATTCAGCTCTAAACGGCTTCTTTCCAAAATGCTGCAAACGACGAGATGTTCGTTTAAGCAACTCCAAATTCACTCAGATCCGATCTTAAATAGGCTCCACCTTCCCTGGGACCTATCCTAATACTAATCCTTTTACAAAACATTGAGTATCAAAATAAGTCACTATTTCCCCAGTAGAAGGTCTAAGGTTTAGGCCTTTTGGGAATACAGTGTTAGCCTAAACTCGGCGAAAATGCAAAATTATTAGGGCTATTTTAGTTACAACACTTTCTAGTACTTTCTATTGTTTTTTGGTAAGGTCTTGGCTTTATGAATATGTACTTTTTTCAACACACGGTACTGAACAGAGGCCTTTTCTCTGATTTTGGTCAATAAGCTTTGGTCAATAACTGTTCAGTATCGTCTTCCCCTCTAAATCTGGCTTTATAGGGGATTAATCCTTTTTCGACAATCAGAATTCCACAGGCATTCTTTACTTTGCTCACCTCCGTCCGTGTCCATATCACAAAACACGCGAAACGAGGCCCCTGTGGTGTTAGATGGATCAATCCAGTAGATTCCAGTTCCATTTGACTTTTTTTGGTGAATGATTTCAAGGCATGACTTTGGCTTTTCCATTTCTTTAAAAAGAAATATATCATGTCTTCTAATTTACAATTTGCTCAAAGAAAGTTCGCTCCACAAATATTAATTGGTGCCTCAACTTATGAACAAATACTACAATAATTAGTATATTTTACAACGTACACGGACGCCAATGTTTTAAACGACTTATAAAACGCCAACACTAATTAACATGAATTACAGTGAGATAAATGACGAAAATTGACGAAAAACTAACTNACACGGTACTGAACAGAGGCCTTTTCTCTGATTTTGGTCAATAAGTTAATGGTTCAACTGTTCAGTATCATCTTCCCCTCTAAATCTGGCTTTATAGGGGATTAATCCTTTTTCGACAATCAGAATTTCCACAGGCATTCTTTACTTTACTCACCTCCGTCCGTGTCCATATCACAAAACACGCGAAACGGGGCCCCTGTGGTGTTAGATGGATCAATCCAGTAGATTCCAGTTCCATTTGACTTTTTTTGGTGAATGATTTCAAGGCATGACTTTGGCTTTTCCATTTCTTTAAAAAGAAATATATCATGTCTTCTAATTTACAATTTGCTCAAAGAAAGTTCGCTCCACAAATATTAATTGGTGCCTCAACTTATGAACAAATACTACAATAATTAGTATATTTTACAACGTACACGGACGCCAATGTTTTAAACGACTTATAAAACGCCAACACTAATTAACATGAATTACAGTGAGATAAATGACGAAAATTGACGAAAAACTAACTGTTGAGTTCAGTCGCTATTAAACATGCGCAATTTAGTACACAAGAGAACATTTTGAATAATTATTTATCCCACATGGAAAGCAAACAATCTGTTGGATAAGCAAGTGTTGCTATCTGTCTTTGCTTGTTCACGTTAGATCCTAGGGGAGGTCTATGTGAGATTAATCTAGTGTTTGGCTGTCTAAATGGTAACCACCCGTTGTAAATCTAATACAACACCAGTGCTTTATTGATACTATTGCTACGGAGATTAAAAACTCTATTCTCAGATGCAACACCTGAAAACACACAAACAACAACCAGTATGTTGTGCTAGTGGTTAGAAAATCAAATTTGGCGACTAAAAATCTCTCAAATTAGTCTTTCGTCGATTTTACTTTCCTCACAGCAAAACAATTGAGAACAAGTCTAAAATGCAAGTGAAAATTTAAGTTAAAAAGAAGTAGGTAAAATTTCCAACAGCTGCAAATTTTGAAAAAAGCCAACAAACTAATTTTTTATTGTTTCACGAAATAGTTGGGTATAAGATGAATGAAACCCCAAACACTTCGGCCATTTYGAATCATTTCTCGTCATCATACATTATCTCATTGAATTGGCTTCTTTGGTATTTGTGGTATGTCTCATATTACCCGAAAAAGTACCCGAAAAGTACGATAAAAAACTCACACGTTAAGTAATACCCAAAATACAGCCCGAGAGCGGGCCAAACAGATAGTTCAAAACCATACCTTTCTCGCAGTTTTCTCCATCAAATCCTTCACGACAATCACAGTGATAATGCTGCCTGTTTCCCTGGAAGACGCACTTGCCACCATTACGACAAGAGGTTTCTTGGCATGGATTCTAACACGAGAAAATAATAATTTTAATTATTATTCTAAAATATTTAGGATACTACGCGCGCTGTGATTGGTCGAAAACCATGTTTGATTTAAGAAATAAAACATGTTTTCCGTGCCTTCATAGCGCTATGAAAACCAAGGCGTTTGTTTGGGAGAATTCGGGAGCAGACAAAATGTAAAAAATGGCAAACGACGGCGGGCGATTTTTTTTATTTTTTTTGTGCAACAGAATTGCCAGTTTAGAGTCCTTGGATGAAGCAAAAACTATTTTTAACTGATTATTGAAGATTAAAGGGTACATGTCTCTCAAAAGGCGAACTGGATCATAAATATTTGGAAAAGGTAGGTACAACTAGCAACGAAATGTGTGCTGCTTTCGCTGAATGAAAACATCTTACATCTTCGTCAATTCATTGATTTGAATCTAAATTAAACCTTTATGTTACTTTTCCATTCAGAATTGGTATTCAAATGATATCTAGATGAGATTTTTGAAAGACTGCAGAAAAACATTTGCTGAGATACTTTGTTTTGACACGTTATGTTTGATAAACCGCTTCAATCGATGTTCCGCCACTTCAAGCTCTCTCCTTTCATCACCGACGAAAAAATTCACCAAGCCACAAATATTACATCAAACTGTTAGTCGGATGGACTCCGCTTCATGGATAATAAGGTGGAATTCATGTTTATAGACTTTTTTTGAAACAGTGGCATCTTGTAATGGTATCAAACTCAAGATAATTTTATGCGAGCGTTGCAAGAGCTGCAATGACAACAATCCGTACGAAAAAACGCTAAAGTCACAAATAAACACGTTTGTCAGATAAATTCCGTTTCATGGATAAGCTGGCATTCATGTCTATAGATTGGATATTGAACTGGTAGCTTTTTTATCGTGTACTAGTAGGTAATGAATTTATAAAGACACTCAATGAACAAGAAAAGAAACAACTCGCTAAACATCGTCAGAAAATTCTCAAGCGTAAATAGAACATGACAATTTCTCTTGTACTTAAGCTTATCTAATGTAATATTAAACTCACTAAATTCTAAATGTTTAGCTTCATAGAAAAATGTAACTGGCTTTTGAAACAATATTTTCGTATTTTATAACAATAAAGTTGTAAATTTATTTAGCGTATTAGTTCATCTTTTTCATTTAACTTGAATTTAGTTGCTCTAGTAAGTTATCCCTTCATATGCAATCAAAACCTACAAGAACCAAAAAATACATGCAGAATATTTCTTCACTGGTTGTTTCTAGCTCGGATAAGTTTTTTTTTTTTCTTTTCTAGTTCTAGTTTTGAAATTCGCACTGAAAACTGGTGACGTCAAACCATGCCTTTATACTGTTATGAAAACACAGTAGTCGTCCAATCAGAACGCGCGTAGTATCTAAGTTATTTTATATACAGTTTCAAAACACGCTCGCGCGTGTCTTTTTTCCCGCCGTTTGCATTTGTTGTTGTTATCATTCATTTTCAAGAACAATGAACGAAGAAATGCCTATTTATGATGTCCTCTGGGATGATATCCCAGAAGAAGAGCTATCAAACGTTTTAAGAAGCTTCAGAAGCTACTTCGAGATTTGCAGAGATAGACGACAGCCACATAGACAAAATACTTGACAACTCAGTCAAAAAACACAAAGTCAGAATTCTTTTAATTTTAGAAAAGAAATAAAAGACGAAATTCCGTTTTAGATACTCTGATCAAAACACTTGGGATGTAGGGAGAGCAATCGAAAAGCTGGAAACCTACGCTTCTCTTGTGCTCTCCCTACATCCCGCGTGTTTTGATCAGAGTATCAAACACGGAATTTCGTCTTTTATTCCTTAAATTATATCATGATTTCGTAATGTTAATGTATAAGGTTAACAGTCAA